ATAATAATAATGAAAGACCCCTTTGGAAATTTGTATCTGGGTTTCTTGAAGATAAAGCCCTGTGTGGCTAAATATGGATTCTGAATGTACCTAAGAGCAATGTCTCCATGGTATCTGTTGTAGTCTCTGCTTTACCTTTGTCAAAATCTTAGTTGATGGAACTTAGGGAAGTTATGTGAATGTTTCAGTTATTCTATACAGTGTAATTCTCCTGGGAAATATTTGACTGACTATACATCAATAATGTTACTAATCACTTCAGGTTTTCTGTTTCTGTATAAATCAATATGTTGTCATTTTTGTTGTTTTGTACCATCCAGTCAGAACCGACCTATACCTGACTTTTCAGTGGGTTTTGTTGTTGTTGTAAGGTGCCATTGAGTAGAGAATGACTCATAGCGACCCTATATACATAAGATGCAAGTGCTTTTCAATCTTGTACCATCCTCACACTTCCTGACATACAAGAGACCATTGCAGCAGTCACCATATCCATCCACCTGGTTGAGGACCTTTCTGTCCTTTGCCAACCCTCCACCCCTTCCAACATCATGTCCAACATCAGTGGGTTTTAAGTGGTAATCACACAAGAAGAGACTGTGCACTCTTCTATTGTGGGTGAACTCGTGGGTTTGAACTATGGGCCTTTTGCATTGCACCACAACTTAACACTGGGCCACAAGAGTTATCAAATCAATAGGGATATATTATAATTGTTAAAAATGTTTTGTCTCATTTCTATGTAATTTTTACTGTATTCTGGTAGATATTTTTCAGTCTATACTTTTTTTTTTTGTCTAAATGACCTTAATTTTCACTTTTCTTAAGTCTAGCCCAAATTATTCTATTTAATGCATTTTAATTATAAACTAAAATAAAAATTTATATATACACTATATATATATATAGTCTTTCTTGTTTTGTTTTGGCTTGAAAAGTTCAAGCCAAGAATTAAAATGGAATGGACAAGAAGGCAGAAGACAGAAAATCTAAATAGAAGAATATGTTTGGAATTTCTCAGGCTATAAGAACTGAAGAATTAATTAAAGCCTTGAGCTGTAACACTGAAGGATTTTATGGGCAAAATTTTTAATGATGCAGGAAACATCAAAAGAAGATGATGAGAATACAAAATCACTGTATTTAAAACCAAACAAACAATTGGTCCGCAAGGAATCACTTTAGGAAGACACATATGATCAAGATCCAATAGTACTGAAGAAAAAAATACAAGATGCAGTGAAGTCACTGACAAAAAAATAAAGGCCCAGGAATTGATTTAACAATAAATGAGTTGTTTCAAGAAATAGATACAACCCTGAACATGTTCACCAACCTCAATCAACTAATAAGGAAGTCAGGTATCAGGAGGATTGAATTGATGAGATCCATATTTACTCTCATTTTAAGAAGAGTTATCCAACAAGTGTGGAAATGTTGAAGTATAACATTAATATCACATGCAAGTAAAATATTACAGAAGATTAGTAAAACATGACTTTAATATCATTGGCGATGTCAGGTGGACCTGAGTTGAAAGTAGAAAATACTAAAGAGATATTTATGTTTTATTGATATGCAAAGGCAATTGGCTGTGTGTATCATAACAAATTATGGCTAGCACTGAGTAGACTAGGAATCCTAGAATACTTAATTGTGCACATGTCAAACATATAAAAAGATCAAGAAGAAATTGTCAGAACATGACAATAGTACCCTGCATGGTTTAAAATCTGTAGAGACTGCGCCAAGGTTGTATCCTTTTCCCACACATATTTAATCTGCATGCTGTGTAAACTATTCAAGAAGCTGCACTGAACATACTGACAAAAAATAAGTCTCCAGGAATTTATCGAATACCAATTGAAATGCTTCAGGAAACAGATGTATCTGTGTACATGTTCCCCAGTCTCTGTCAACAAACAAGGAAGACTGCACTTGGCCAATTAACTGGAAAAGATCCATATTTGTTCCCATTTCCAAAAAGAGTGACCCAACAGAGCATGGAGATTATTGAATAATAGCATTAATTTCACATTCAAGTAAAATATTATTGGAAAGTATTAAATTATGGCTATACCAATACATGGAAAGGAAATTGAGATTCAACATCAATTCAGAATAGGCTGTGGCCCAAGTGAGATCATTGCTGATGTCAGGTGGATTTTGATTGAAAGCAGAAAATACAAGACAGATGTTTTCATACATTTTCTTGATAGGCAAAGGCTGTGTATATCATAACAAATTATGGGTAATATTGAAAAAATAGGAATACCAAAGTACTTAATTTCACTCATGTGAAGCCTATATATATATAAAGAAAGGATTGTTGGAACAGAAAAGGGAACATGAGTGGCTTAAAATCAGTAAATGTGTGTCAGGAATGGATCTTTTCTCCATGCTTACTTAATTTTTAATGCTGAGAAAATAATTCAAGAAGCTGGAATACATGAAGAACAAAGTGATGTCAGGGTTGCAAAAAGACTCATTATCAACCCGTTTTATGCTGATGAGAAAACCTTGCTTACAGAAAGCAGACTTGCGTTTCAGCGATTCAGATCCTCCCAGAGAGCCGTGGGTGAGCATTAACATTGCTGGTAAGTATATTCATTTTTTCCTGGGCACAAGAGCCTATTATCATTTGGTGCTAAAAGCTTTCTGAGGTCCCAAATCTTCTCACTATTTCTTACTTGTTGGAATTGATGGAAAACCTCATAAGCAGTTCCTTACTTCAGCTCTGCCTTGCATGTGGACTTCCGAGCTGTAAAACAACCCAGTGGTACATGGAATTTGGTCCAGGACTTAAGAACAATAAATGACACAGTTGAGCCTCTACATCTTGTGGTTCCTAACCTTTATACTATAATAGACAAAGTGCTAGTGAATAAGCTTTTTATTTTAAGAACTACCTTCCCTCTGTAACTTGATTTGTGCCATGCCACTGTTAGAACCTCTACTTGGAATCTTATTGCTTTTAGTTTTTGACTCATGTACCTTTAACTTGTTAGTTAAATTTGTGTCTTCTAAGTTGCAACAGTTCCATGATACATCTTCAAGGATATGAACATGTAAGGCTAAGCACAATTGATAACAGCGCATCTAAATTCCAAAATCAAT